CCTCTTTCTCTTTTCTTCTGTGCTGACAGTATTCGGGAGAGTTTGTGCAGTCTGCCTACCTGTCCAGGCGGCTGGCCTACTTCTGCACCCGCAGGCTCGCCATGCTGCTGGACAGCACCGGGGGCCACTCGGCGCACCACCTGGCAGCCCAGGCCGCCCCTGCGCTCCCTTCCACACCCGCCCCGCAGCCAGCGGCAGGGAACTCGCCGCCCAGCCCCTTCAGCGACCTGCTGCAGTGTCCCCAGCATCGCCCGGTGGTGTTTGGGCTCAGCTGCATCCTCCAGGCAAGTCAGGAGATGTCCCAGGTTTCAGTACCTGTGTGAACATCGGAAAGGGGTCAGGGCTGTGGGTAGAAAGGGTGTGCGAAGTCCACAAGGCAGAGCTGGGGAGGAAGAGGAGGAGGAGGCAACCTTGCCACCCTCTCGGGAGTCTCAGCCGTCCCGTCCTGTCTCGCTTTCTCTCTCCGGCCTCCAGAGTATTGTCCTGTGCTGTCCCAGCGCCCTCGTCTGGCACTACTCCCTCACCGACAGCAGAATCAAGACCGGCTCCCCTCTGGACCACCTGCCCATCGCCCCCTCCAACCTTCCCATGCCAGGGGTCAACACGGGCTTCATGCAGCAGGTGAGCGGCAGGGCTCAGAGCCCTCTTCTTTGCCCACGGCTGGGCCGGCCGCCGGCCGCAGAAGCCGAGCTGTACGCCTGCTTTGCCCCTCTCTTCCCACTTCCAAGCCTTTGGGCAGAAGGCTTTCTGCACTTCCAGGGCACCCCCACCTCGCTCTGTCCTCTCTTGACCTTCTGTCCTTCCCAGGTGCGAGCGAGGCTTCGGGAAATTGAGCAGCAGATCAAGGAGCGGGGCCAGGCAGTGGAGGTCCGTTGGTCTTTCGACAAATGCCAGGAGGCCACTGCAGGTAAGCCCATGTCAGAACCCAGCCCTGCTCTGCCCTTCTTCCTGCAGCCATTCCCGATGGCTCTTGAGCAGCCTTTCCTCACCCTTTCATGCTCCCCCGGCTCTTTCCATCGGCTGACCTCTCTTTGCCCTTCCCTCTCCTCTCCAGGATTCACAATCGGCCGGGTACTGCACACTCTGGAGGTCCTGGACAGTCACAGTTTTGAGAAATCAGACTTTAGCAACTCTTTGGATTCCCTGTACAACAGAATATTTGGGGCAGGACCAAGCAAAGACAGTCATGAGGTAAGGCCAGGCCTTTTTTGGTTAGGGCTCTCGGATGGAAAAAGGTTCAAGTTTGTGTGATCCCGTCCTGCTGGACACAAACGCTGGAGGGTTTTGTGCGGTACCAGAGAATGTGGTCTCATTGCTGTGGCTCCTTTTCGGTCTCTAGCGTGGGCCTTCTCCTGTCGCACGGCATGCCACGGGCTAGCCAAACAATTTATGAGAGAAGTGAAAAGGAGGTAGAGCTTTTCCTCCTCTTGCCATCCAACTTCAGAATCAGGGAAAGGCATGACAGTGGCATAGATGGCCTCAAAACGCCAACCAGCTGATTCAGGATGGTAAAAAGTCTGAACAGCCAGCCCTGGGAGGAATCATTAAGGGAGACGGGTGTGTTTAGCTGGGCGGATGTAGAGAGGGAGAAGCCATTTGACAGTCCTTCCAATATTCAAAGGGCTGTTGAGTTTTCTGTAGCTCCCAAGAGGAGGATTGAAACCTGGAATCATGGGATGAGAAAGGAGGTTTTTTTTAAATGGCTTAAACAGTAGGAGTGCTGTCCTCTGACGATGCCAGCCCCAGAGACTGGCAAAATGTTAGGAAGAACAACCTTCAAAACACGGCCAAAGAGCCCGAAAAACCCACAACAACCATTAAACAGTAGGAAGATCATCTTGACAGTAAGAGCTGTTGGATAGTGGGAAGGGCTGCTTCAGGGGTTAGATGACCAACCTTCAGAGAAGCTTTAGCCCTAGACTTGGTAAACCTTCACGACCTCTTCCAGTTTTCCAGTTCCACCATCCCGTCCTGCCAGAGTGAAGGGGCAAAGGTCTGTCCGTTGGCTGAGATGGAGCTTCCCTGTGGAGAGTCGGTGGTGGTGGTGGTGGAAGGTGGGAGGCTGAGTGGGAGAGAAGGAAGCCTTCATGGCATGCTTGCCTCCAGCTGTCCTCTGTGGGGAGTGAGACGCTGGATGATCCGGGGAGCAGGCGGGGAGCTTATCTGATCTGTTTCTTGTCTCATTTCCGTGCTGAGATGGAAAGGAAGCCCTTGCTCTCTCTTCCTGATCTGACTTCGCATTCTATGGTGGTTTTTCTTTTTCTTGATTTCAAGCAAAATGGAAGAAAAAAGGGGAGTCGAGTAAAGAAAAAGGGTGTGGAAGGGAAAGGGGATGTGGCCTACCTTATGCTCTGCCATATATATCTTTTTCAATCCCGACAGATCTCCCCTGATGATGATGCCGTGGTGGCCCTGCTGTGCGAGTGGGCCGTCAGCCACAAGCGCTCTGGACGCCACCGTGCGATGGTGGTGGCCAAGCTGCTGGAGAAGCGTCACTCTGAGATCGAGGCAGAGGTGAGCGAGCGTTTCCTGGGGAAGCAGCAGAGCAGGGAGGAAGCGTGGGGGGGGGACTTACCCCCGTTGAGGGTGAGCAGTACCCACGTCCTGGGGAACAGGACGGTATTTCAGCCTCAGAAGCACAGCTTGAGTCCAGCAGTGACTTCTAGCCATCCTTCTGCACCCTTGGCAATGATGAGAGAGCCTGCCTTCATCTCTTTGGGAGCCTTCGGCCCTGCCCGGTCTGCATCAGGTCCTTGTGCAGAGCCTCCGGTGGGCAGCCTTATTCATTTGACTGTTTCTACAGTGTTTGTAATGAGGCTATTTTAAAAAAACAGAACCAAAGTGTCAAAAATGAGCATAAAAACATAACTGAAAGAGAGAGAACAAAGCCCGAAGAACAGAAGTTAGTAGGTGGGTGGGTGGGTGAGAGAACACAACCAAACCAGCTGATGGATCCTCCATCCCAAAGGGTGTTTCTTTGGATGCAGATCTTCTGAATCCACCTTTTTTGGGTGCAGGCCGGTGGCCATGGCGCTGGGATGGTCTGGGAGTTGTAGGTTTTCTGAGGTCTGTTGTGAAGACTGGAGGAGGAGGGGAGGAACAGGCTGGCCTGCCAGGAGCAGTTGCCACCCTGCCCAAATTTTACTCTGCTCACCCACCCAACCCTTAATAGAGGGGGGACCTGAAGGCAGAGTTTTAGCTGACGACAGAGGAGAAATATCCTGACCCAGGGCAGAAGCCCTAATGTCTGTTAGCAGCATTTCTTCTGAGCTGTCCTGGAAAGAGGCAGGTTATAAGACAGATTCCATGAGCACAGGAGGGAGGGAGGGAGGGAGGGAGGAAAAGCAGGAATGGGGGGGCTGATGGCAGCTTGTGCTTCCTTTTCTCCCCAGAGATGCGGGGACTCGGAAGTGGTGGACGAAAAGGGCTCCATCTCCTCGGGCTCCCTCTCGGCTGTCAGCGCGCCCGTCTTTCAGGAGGTCCTCATGCAGTTCCTGGACACCCAAGCTCCCATGCTAAGTAAGGAATTCCAAGGGGTGGGACAGAGGTGGTGGTGGGGGGGAGGGCAGCCGAAGCAGCAGCCCAAAGAACCAAGAGATTTCGTTTGGGCCTCTGGCTGTCCTGGATTGCACTCCTCCCTCCATCTCTCTCTCATCTCCTCCCTGCTTTTTCCCTTGGCTTCTTCCTTGGCAGCCGACCCCAGCAATGAGAACGAGAAGGTGGAGTTTTTCAACCTGGTGCTGCTCTTCTGTGAACTGATCCGCCATGACGTCTTCTCCCACAACATCTACATGTGCACCCTGATCTCGCGCGGTGACCTGGCCATTGACCACGGGCCCCGGCCCGCCTCCCCCTTTGACGATGCCGCCGAGGAGCACGACCGGAAGGAGGGGGAAGGCCACGGCGGCCTCAAGCTGGAGGTGGGGAGGCTGGAAGGGGAGGGGGCAGGATCCAGGGGGCCGGGACCCTCTGGGGTGCTCTCGCCTGTGGGGCCTTTTGGTTCTGAAGAGCTACACCTTGTCTCCTGTCTCTCCCAGGACACGGGCTTGCCCGAATGCCAGATGGACATAGATCACAACTCCAGTGCCATTTTTGATGACATGGAGAAGACAGATTTCTCGGTACGGCCTTTGCTCAGGATTTTTTTTTTAAATTCCAGATTTAGAAGTTTAGGAAATAAATGTTCTCTCCCCCCCCCCCCAATTCTGCTATTCACATGTAAGCATCTGAGCAGAAGAGCTCGTAGAACCCCATCCAAAGCAGAACAGAGGAATGAGACAGAGAGGGGGGAGAAAGGGGGAAGTCTAGATGTGTACGGGGAATGCAATGTGACATGTTCCCCACCCCGCTCCCTTCGCCCCCAAAATGTTAAGGTTCCCTGTGGGGTCTTGTGCCTTTTGTGGTTCAGGAAGCAGAGACAGCCATTCAGTTAAGAGCTTCACTCCCTCACAGCTCTTTCTTTACCCCCTTGGCGTAGCGGGGGCAGATGCGGGCTTCTCCCGGCCACCGTGTCTCATGGCAGTCCCAGGAGCGGGAAAGGCCCGAGACCCTGGGGCCCTCGGGTGCCACAGGAGAGACAGAAGCCAGTTGCCAGGGTTCCTTGATTTGGCGGGCACGCTTTCTTCTCGTTCTCCTCCTTCTCCCTGACGCTCTGTGACCAGCGTGCTGGATGTGAAAAGCCTCGCCTCTCTTTGGTGTCTTGGCCCGAAGAGCGAGCGCTCCTGCTTGTGGCCTCTTTCTGGGGCTGAGGGGGGTGTTTTTGGCAGGGGGGTTAGTGGTGCGTGTTTCTGTGGAGTGCTTTGCCCTTGCCAACCCTGTGCGCCAACCTGGCCTCGCCTTGTCTCTCTCCCCTCCCCGCCAGATGTTCTCTCCTTCCATGCCCTGCGAGTCCAAAGCCAGCCCTTCTCCAGAAAAGCTGGACTCTGAGAAGGAAGGGAAGCCTCTGCTGAAAGAGCGGGTGGCCGACGGGATGCTGGCCTCGCTCTACGACCAGCCCCGGCACATCCAGTACGCGACACACTTCCCCATCCCTCAGGTAGGAGTGGAAGCCGCCCGTGCGCATATGTGAGCGTGCGTGCACATGGCGTGATATCCCCTCTACACAGGATGGCACCGTGGTGGCTTCTGCTCTCAGCAGGAGGAAGCTCGTTTGGGGTTCAGTGGGGAGGGGTGTGCAGCCTTCAGTGTCCGAGGTGTTCTTCTCCCCACCTCTCCTCCTGCCCTGCGGACAAGGTGCCCTTTTACCACCCACAATCTGCAGAGTGTCCGTAACTGGCAAGAAGGTGCTTGTCAACACTTGTCAGACATGGCTATGAGTCCACTCGGTTTGATCTGTGCCGCCCTTTACTTCTAGATTAAAGGAGTATTGGATTTGCAGCCACCTGGGCCTGCAGGTTGATTCCCACCCTCTGCTCAAACAGGCGGGCAGAGGGTGGTGGCCTGTGGGCTGCATATGACCCCACTCCCACCCACCCCCACCCGGTGCCCTCATCCCACTCTGCAGTACAGTGGGGGGGGGGAATGCGCAGCCCTCCCCCCTTGGCATTTATTTGTCCATCTTCAGAGGTCTTGGGGGGGGCACGGCTGGGGACAGAAGACCATGGGAGGGGCAGCCCCCTCAGGCAAGTGACAGAGGCTGCCCATGTGATTTAGCGCCCGGAAGGCAAAGCTCAGAAATTGTCCATCCTAAGAAGGAAGTGGTTGCCGCCTTTCTCCTGTCTGCCTGTGAGTTGGTTGCTTCGTTTATTTACTCAAAGTTTATGCTGCCCACCTGACCAGCGGTCACTCTGGACCGCTCACAATAAAACGTCAAGCGTAGTATAACAAAGAGCTGCAAACTAAATTAAATTAAATTAAATACCAAGGATTTGAACAGCTTAAAGATTAGAAAGAGTTTTTAAAACAGGTGGCAATACCTATAAAATGCAAAAGGCTCACGGGCCTTGAGTTGTGTCTGTGCGCTGTTGGTGTGTTGCGTGACCCCCTCCCCCTGCTCTGGCTAGCCAGGGAGGTGGCCGCGGCCTTGAAGACCCACAACCTCTGGTTGGGCCGTGGGTTGGACCAGGCAGACCGAGAGAAAACAGCCCCCTCCGGGTGTCCTCCTCAAGACATCGCCTTCTGCTCGGGTGGGCAAAACGTCCGTCTGGCAGCCACTGGACCCCCCACACTGTTGTTTCAATGTCCGGCTTCCCCCAGGAGGAATCCAGCGGCCACGAGTGCAACCAGCGGCTCGTGGTCCTCTTTGGAGTCGGGAAGCAACGCGACGAGGCCCGGCACGCCATCAAGAAGATCACCAAAGACATCTTGAAAGTGTTGAACCGGAAAAGCACAGCGGAGACAGGTGGGTGGCCTCCGCCCGCTGAAAGCGGTGGATGGGTCTGGCCAGCACTGGGGTGAGGGAAAAGGAGGCCACTTGGGATCCCGTTGCAGGGCGGCCCAAGCTAGAGGACCGCACTGCTCTTGATGTGGTACGGCCCTTGAACATTGGTTTTTATGGCTTGTGTGTTTCGGAAATGTAATTTTTAATATTTTTTTCCAAGAGCAGTCTAAAAATCAAATGGCTAAAAACCATTTACAAGCCAGTGATATGTAGCCAGTTTTTTAAAAATCTAAAAAAATGAAACATCTGGTCTTTCTAGTGTTTGAGAAAGTATACTTGAAGCGTACTTGGTATGTTTCCTTCTGAAGAGATGCCAGTTATGGAGAACAGGAATGAAATAGCTCTGTTGACATAAAAGGGATGGTTTGGAAGCAAAACAGAACCCCACATCCTTCAAATTTCTAAAGAGATCCTTAGATTTTAACTTGGAATAAGGAGGGAAAATGAGACTTCAAAGTTACGCTGGCACAGACCTGAGAGTGGGGACATTCTGGCTTCTCAGCCAGGAGTCCGGAGTGTACAGTTGTCTTAGGGCTCAATTACAGCTGCTGAAAACCTTATTATGTATGACCTGGGCGTACTTGCTTATTGATTTGGTATTGCTTGCCTGGGGATTTATGCTTATGTTTGCATTTGTTTTAGTTTTTATGTAAACTGCCTGATGGATTTTTGCAAATACAAATACAGGACAGAGATTTAAGAATGATTCAGTCACTTAAAGTCTTCCATAGAACAACTTCCTTCCTTCCTTCCTTCCTTCCTTCCTTCCTTCCTTCCATCCTTCCATCCTTCCATCACCTTCCATCTCCAACTCCTCCCTCCCTCCCTCCCTCCCTCCAGCCCCATTGATCTTTTTCCTCTTCTTCCTTCTCCCTCAGCAGTGGACTGGGCAAGGTCTGTCCTCCCAGAGTTCCAGACTGACTTTGTGTTTTTGGGTCTGGGGGCCGAGGGCTTCACGAAACCAAGCTGGGGGCTTGTGAATGGCCTGCCCTGCCTCAAATGACGGCTGTCCAGGATGTCTCTCTCTCTCTTTGTCTTTGTCAGGGGGAGAGGAAGGGCAGAAAAGGAAGAGGAACAAGCCGGAGGCTTTCCCGACCGCCGAAGACATATTTGCTAAGTTTCAGCACCTTTCCCACTTTGACCAGCATCTCGTCACCTCTCAGGTGGGTGTCTTGTGCCGGGGGGGGGGAGAAACGTCCTGTCTTCATGAACCCTTTGGCAGTTTGCAGCCAGGTTTGGAGTCAGGGGGCATGGCTAGGGGTAGAGCACAGGGTGGGGTGTGTATGGAGAAAGAAGGCCAGGATGAACCCCCTGGACCTCCATCGCAAAGGGCTCGGGGGAACAGGAGGATGAGGAAGGCAAAGGCTGCTGGTGGGGGAGTTTTTTCAGCCGAAGGGAAGGATCCTGTTTCAGAGAAGGTCTCGCTAGCCCCGTCCCAGGGAGGTGGGGTCAGGTTTTTTTTTATTTTATTTATATCCCGCCTATCTGGTCAACTAAGGACCATGTGGTGTTAGCTTCCTTCTGGCACTGAGGCTGCTGGAGAAGCCATCCAGCCTTCCTTTAACGGGAGAGTAATGGGAACCCACCACTTGATATTTCTTGGGAGAAAGGGGCCTAACTGGGTAGAAGGCAGCTTCCTCGATTCCGCTGTCCCTCTTGACAGCTCTGTTCCTTCCCGCCCTTCCTGCATGTATCCCCCCCCACCTGCCTCCCACAGGTATCCCGTAACGTCTTGGAGCAGATCACCAGCTTTGCCTTAGGGATGTCCTACCACCTGCCTCTGGTGCAGCACGTCCAGTTCATCTTTGACCTGATGGAGTATTCGCTCAACATCAGCGGGCTCATTGACTTCGCCATCCAGGTGAGCAGCGCCCTGCCTGCTGGGTCTCTCGGCGCTGACATTGCCCACACCCTCCTTGACCCATGTTTTTTCTGCTCTCTCTCTCCCTCTCTCTCTCTCTCCGGTATTGTGTGTGTAGCTGCTAAACGAGCTGAGTGTGGTGGAGGCAGAGCTGCTGCTGAAATCCTCCGACCTGGTGGGCAGTTACACCACTAGCCTGTGCCTCTGCATCGTGGCCGTGTTACGGCACTATCATTCCTGCCTTATCCTCAACCAGGACCAGATGGCCCAAGTCTTTGAAGGGTAAGGATATGTGTCCCCA